GGGGGGGGGGGGGGGGGGGGGGGGGGGGGACGTGAAAGCGCGCTTGGTTCGCGCTAGCATGGGTCGCCGATGTATCTGCCTGTGCAACTACGGGTCAAAGTCATGACCCCGCTTGGAGGAAAGCACGTCGTGTACGCACGACCCAAGTGCTCGCAGCCTTACAGACCAAAAGGGCCTGTCTCTTTCATGCGCGCGTAAATGCCGTTCCAGGTCGATTGCCTTATAGCACGATTGTGCACCTCATCGATAGCACCGAACCCGCCGGTGCTTCAAGGGTTACTCTCTCGGAAAAACGGCCTGCCACCTTGTACTTGGTGCATGCTCTTGTGGGCCCGCCCTCCACGTTGTATACAGCAGTCGAATCGGGCAAGGTTGAGGGCATTTGGGGTGCTCGTGTGTGGGGGTCTTGTCGGTTGAGATAGATACCAGACCTTGTGAACCGTTCCATTTTGGCGTTCCGGCTCTCTTGAGGCTCCTTGGAGGTTTGTTGCGGTTTTTAGTCTCGCCCAAGAATTATGTGCATCTACCAGGGTGTTACCAAGATTCAAGATTTGCCCCGATGTGCAAACTGTGGCTTGGGGGGGGGGGAGGGAGAGCATTGTCGTATTCTCGCAGACCGTTGGCCACACGCCATCCTCCTTCGAGACGGGGCACACTTCCTACTCCTTAGCCACCAGTACAAAGACGTTTGACCAGGTGTTCCCAAAACTTGTGCATCTTCTTCAGCATATTCTCCATTTTTCTTTGAAGTATTCCGTTCCTTGACTGGTACGTTGGCAACCGCCTATATATCTTGTCGCTAACAAACGTTCTCTTGACAACTCTCTAATTTTACGAACTACCGACAAATGGTACTTCCATGTGTTGTCCGCATATCTTTTTTTTTGCCGACTGGCCTCCCATTCTTGCCAGCATCTTGCACGTGCCCGAACTTTGTTTCGTGGACACTACGCCAACCCCGTACGATCGACGTGACTTCAAGTCTGAATGGGTGCCCTACGAAATGGCACCAATCCCCGCAGCTATGCATACAAAAACGGAAATGAACAGGTCGCGTACTGCCAACACTACTCGGTCGCTTCTGTGCAGCAGGCAATCCACCTCCAAGAACTTCCCCCACACTTTCCTACAGAGAGGCCCTTGACATCAGAAACACGGGGTGTTGATGCTTCGCCTTAGTATCAAGCCCGCCCGCATCCCCTCCAGAGTCTTGCGCGCGGCCACCACCTTCTCCGTATCCGCCCCGTTTAGCACCGACAGCGTCTCAATAAACCTCATCATGGCCTTCACGCAGTCTTGGAAGTACACACGCCGGCTGGAGGCCAACCAGCCCCAGCCCTCCCCCTGAACCTCCCTCCCCCCCCCCCCCC